TTTCTCTAGGCTATATATATATAACAATAATGTAACGGCCATATGAAAAATCTGAAATTAAGTAATTTCAGTCTACTACAGCCAAGAATTTTCAGGGTCTAACACGTTGCATGAACGACAGTTATATAGTAGGTCACGAACGAGCGAGAAGTATTTTTTCTTCATTGTACCTTGTCCATCTTGTGAATATTGATAATACGTAGGTAAGTCAAAAATTATCCGCACTCTTGTTTTTCCAATCCATATATACAAAAGTAGGGGTTGAACAAGTACTTCATTTTTCTACATAGTCTCCTCCCTTTTCGATGCACTTGGTCCAGCGGTCCAAAAGCTTGCGAATTCCCTCCACGAAGAAGGTTTCCGGTTGGTCGCGCAACCATTTATGCACCGCTTCCCCCACTTCTTTGTCCGTAGAAAATCAAAACCTCGTAAAACATCTTTGAGCGGTCCAAAGAGATGATAGTCGGAAAGGGCGAGATCTGGGCTGTAGGCAGGGTGTTCCAGCATCTCGAAACACAAATGGTTAATGGTTTCAACGGTCTGGCCGTCCTTGTGTGAGTCTTCATTGTCATGCAACAACAACACTTTCTTCGACAATAGGCCTCGGCGTTTGGTGCGAATTGCTGGCTTCAGATTGTTGGCCAGCAAATCACTGTATCTTGCACTGTTGATCGTACACCCTTTTTCCAGGTAGTCTTCCAGTATAGGCCTTTTTGAGTCCCAAAAAACGGTTAGCATCACCTTTCCCACGAAAGATTGAGTCTTGAATTTCATCTTCGTTTGCGATCCCGGGTGTCTCCACGCCATACTCTGGCTTTTGGATTCTGGCTCATAGTGATGAACCCACACATGAATTTCAGCCCCTGACACCTTCCAATCAGAGAAATCGGATCACTATTCTTTGTTAATTATTGGTGCACACTGCTAGCAGAGCGGCCATGTTTACACTGTCTCAGCATCAAGGAAAATGATGCGATCAAGGTAAAACTTCGATCACGTGAGCACAGTAGTACCAACTCTAACAGTACATGCGTAGGAGGCAATGTGACAAACCTAAAGAGGTGTTATGGAGAAAGTGCGGATAATTTCTGACTTACCCTCGTATATTTCTGTGGATGTGTGAAATGTTGTGCCTTACGCATAGGAGACGATTTATATTGCTGACTGTGCGTGTTGTTCTTGGGAGATGGCGTTAAATTTCGGCGTCGATGCATCATTCAGTAACAAGTAGGTTATGAAAGGAATGAGGGAGAAGCCAGAGAAAACTGCAAGTTTACACACAAAATGATGAGATTTCCCAGTGAACTCTCAACTGCTCTCACACGTGTACAGGTGTCACATTCCTAATAGAGAGACACGCACTTCTGGCTCTCGGCTTCTCGTGCACTCCTCTGTTTAGCCCTTTGAGTGCATGGGGCTTCTTTACACGTCCGTAACACCACGAAGAGCTCCAATGAAAGTAATTAACAGTACGGCTTTTTGTGGTAATTTGGTCTATGCCTGGAGTTTTACGTAGTTTTAGGTGGTTTATTTCTTTTTGTATTTCCCTTGTGATTTTTTTAATTCCCGGTATGTTCGCAGGAATAGTTGACAATTGTTCTTCTACTTCAGCATCTATTTCAGTGTCGTTTGGTGTAAATACCTTTGCAAGATGTTGAGTGAACAGCATTGTCTTTTCTTCGTCACTTCTGGCCCATGTACACTGTAAGATGAAGTTGAACGAATGAGACGAAAAGGAATTGAATAGTTCCATTACAACGGCCAGTTTCGTGTGCCTCTACAGAATGGACGTATTCACCAAAGTTAACAAATCTAAATGCACTTCCTTCAGTGAATTAAAAGCTGTGAATAAATCAAATCCTTGACCGGCACCACTTTCAGCGCATAGTGGAGCGAATGCTGGGAAAACATCCCTTCGTGTTCTGCATCCCTTCGAACATGTACTAAGCCGTCGGGACCTTGTTGTAGTAGTTACAATATTTCTTTATAGATGGGAGAACCGTATAAGTTCCATCTGCCATCTTTAGACAAACATGCGTAATACAACACTGATGCTGAGGTTGAGCGCACCATCTGGAACAGTGACGTAATCGTCATATCATCAGTTACTAGCGGTTACTAGATCGTATTACTATCATGGACAAAACAGCTGTCTTCAGTCGTTAGACTTCGTACGAAGATTGTGTCAAATTTGTCTATTCTTTGGATTTCGCAACAACAATTTTTGGGTACAGCAAGGTCGTCAGCCTTGCTAGTAACCCCCAACATGAACAAGCAAGTCTCTGCATATAGTCCCCCAATGACAGGGTGGCCCAGCTATGTTCTGCCGAGAAATCATTTCGTTGACTGCGACGACTAAACACCTTCCTACACCTACACCTACACCTATTTGTTGCTAAGAGCCCAAACGTAGCAAATTCATTATGGTCCAGATGACCACAGAACATAAATTCGCGTATATGTAAGTGACCTTAGCGTGCAAAATGGAATTCTGTTCAGCGTGCAACGACCAGTGAGCGAGCTGAAAACAAACCTGCAACAAGATGGCCGTTGTTTAACCTTTGGGGTATACTACAATGCCTTTAATGTTCAGCTTACTTGTGTGTGTGTGTGTACAATGATGTGAGTTGTCATATACTCGTATGTTAAAGTTAGCACTTAGAATGATGCAGAGGACAAACGACATCGCGTGGAGGAGCTTGATAAATTGGAATTGATATTGTTTTATGATGCTGACCTAATGCTTAGTGTAGATAAACCAAGGTATTTGTTCGGTAAGCAATGAAATTATACCAAACAAATTATCAACGATTCGTCTTGGGGTCCAGTAACTAGCCAGACCCTCTTGTCTCAGGTGAAACACAAAAACTCCATAGAACTTGAGAACCACATCATTCTAAACACACCCTAACAGAAAGACATCACGAAAATGTCGCAAAAGGTGTAGATCTTATGCCACATCTCATGTGCTTCTAGGCACAATAATATGACCATAAGCTCTATGAGGTGCATGACTTGTTCTAAGATTGAGGAGTCTTTCCTGGCACTAGGTTCTAGGTTACAATTGTAAGGGGAGGTGGCCTGTAAATGCAGGAATGTGCCAGTTAATCCTTCTCCCTGTCCATGCGGCCTCATCTGCATGTTTGTATGAATCCCTCCCTGTGTTACTTTTGAGAGAGTGTCTTGGAAAGTACTTTTAATCTTTGTATACATAAATATTGGGGTGTTTATTTGTTTCACACTTCCACACTCTTATGTCTATTTCGACCAAATTTGGATTCACGATAGAACTTAAATATTTTAATATAAGTACCCTAGTTATAGTTTTTTTAGATATTTAATTTTCATTTATCAAAACTAATCGGCAATTCTAAAGAAAATAGCAAAATGCAAGAATTTTCGTTTTGCCTTATAAAAGTAGAGCGTTAATTTCCGCAGTCAATATTCTACCAAACAAGAACCTCGCCCCATTCGAGTACAATCAGCGGTCGAGAATATAGGATTTAATAGTAATATTGGAAGAAAAAATTTATTTGGCAGTAACAAAAATGCAATGTTGGCAGCACTGCGCTCTGGATCCTACATTGAAAACTGTGACGGATTAGTTAATTTACTTGTAATTATGTTGATTTATATTAATGTCGTTAAGCTCAGCATTATTACTTTTCGGTGTATTACATTTCCTAATTATATGTGGGGACTGCAATGCAAATTTCATGACAAATAACACAAAAAAAATATATAAAATTACCTCACTCTTAGGGTAGTACAAT